CTGTCCCAATTTAGTGGGTTCAAAAAAAAAAAGACCGCGCTCGAACTATGAGGGGGTTAAAAGGATCAGCCCTTTTTGAATTAATAGTCAGTAAGTCTAATGTGTTCCACTGAGCTAATCAAGTTTCATTTGCTATTTTGTATTACATTCAAACAATAGACTTTTATGTTCACTCGTTTTTAGAAGTTGTAACCAGCTCGTATGAAAAGATTTATCGACGCGAAATAGTTAATTTTATTCAACAACGCCAAGAAACAGGGCTCGCTCAAGAAACAGCAAAGAAAGAGAAAAAAATATTTTGTTGAACGTTGTTGTTTTATTTATAAATTATTCTCCTATATCTAAACATATAAATGATGTAGAAAATGCTTCCTCTTTTATATTGACATCTAAAAGAAGTTTTTTCTTGGCATCGGACAGAGCTTTTTGTCATACTTTGTATGAAGAGCTATTATCATTTCCATTTGATAAAAACAGTTTTTCATATATAAAAAGTAGGAATACTATAGTGTAAAGGATACTATAGTATACTAATAAGTATGAAAAAATTTTTTTTAGAAGTGCATAATTGATAAACAAAGACGTCTTAAAGAAGTATTTTTATGTCTTTTCATGACAAGAATAAGACAAAAAAGATGCCTTTCCGATGTTGAAAAAAGATGTCTTTTAGATTTGCAAGAAATCTTTTCGATATAGAAAAAAGATTTGCATATTCGATTAAAAAAAGACGTCTTAAAAAGTTTTTTTATATTTGCATAATCGATTAAAAAAAGACGTCTTAAAGACATCGTAAATAAGACTTTTAAAGACGTCTTCTTGACGTCATTTTTTCCACTGGGCTTGGTTCAGAGCCAATTCTAACTACTAAGCAACGACTGCGTAAATTAAGAAATATATTTGTTGCGAATATATATTTTTTAAATGACTTGTTGTAAAATTCTCTATTAATACATACTGTGAATTTTGTAAAAAAATATTTAAAAACAAATTTAAACCAAATTATAACAGGTTTGAACTTTGCAGTTAGTAGTGTCTTCCGTTCCCAATTTTGTTCATTTTGTTTTGATGCTTTTATTTTCAGTTTTGTTTGGTTGTTTCTTAACTTACTAAAATTCTATCAAAAACTACTATTAAAAGCAGACTGGCTAGAGTCTTTCAAACAAGTATATACATGTGGTATGGGAACGTTAAAAGCTTTTTTCAATTTTGATAATTGTATTGATTAAAATAGTTGTCCCCTTTTTTCATAGAGACTTTAATGGTTTTTTGATTCTGCTAATTACAAAACATTTACATTAGCAAAGATTTTTTGCTTTTCATTTGACTTTGAATATACAAAACTCTCTATTAATTTGGATATTGTAGAAATATTCTTTGATTCAATCTTGTATAAATTAACAACATTAATTGTATAAATTAATAACATCATTTCATATTTCTGTTTTTCTTCATTATTCATTCAAGTTTTTATGTTGCTGTTTATTTTTTTATTTTGTTTTTTTGACCCATTATTATGAATACTTTTTAATATGTTAGGTAAAAGAAATATATCATCTATAGATGATATATTTTAAGGCATAATCAAATAAAAGAGCTTATAATTGTTAAAAAGATTTTATAGTTGTTATTATATAAACTTTCCCAGCTGACACAGAACGTTTGCTTGATGTCTTAAGGATGTTGTACGGACTTTTGACATCTATAAGATGTTGCACGGACGTCTGTGTCCGCTGGGTTTTTTATAAAAAATCTTATAAACGTTAAACTTATTACAGATGGCTAACTCTTTTCCATCATGATACTTCAATAAAGGCCTAAACCTCATAAAAACCTCTGAATTCATTTTACAAAGAGTATTTATTCTATAGTTTATGATATAAGCTCTTATATTTAAATATATTTTTTACCAAAGTACGTAAACTGATTTTTTAAAAATGTTGCGAAACAAACATTTATTGCAGAAAAAAGTCAATTCAAAACGTTGTTTCAAATTGAATTTTTTCTGCAATATATATTTGTTTATAGACAAAATTTGTTAATAAATAGGTCTTTGGTGTGTCTTATTTCACAGTAATTGAAAATTTTTAAGCTTATAAGAAGTATAAGAATATTTGTTCAAGATATAATCTCGGTTAGTTAATAAAGGCATAACAATGCACTTAGTTCCATAATACAACGCTTCAAAAAAAAAATTTTAATCGTGTTTTGAAAATTAAACTTTGAGCATTAAAATTACCATAACAATTTGCAATACAACATAAAATAATGAACCCTTTACTCTCTCTTTTATCTTTCAACTTACTGTTAAAGTCTGCAAATTGATTAAAATTAAGATTATTGCTTTTGATTAAATACTTCTTTTTAACTTATTTTTGTCTAACCATGGGAGTAGTATAGTATCTATACTACTTCCATGGTCTAACCTAATAAAAACCATCTCATAGTTTGTTTAACTGAACTATTTTCTTGTTTTCCAAATATAAGTTTAACTTGCCTCCAGTTTTTTACTTTTATATATTATAATATAATTACAATACTTAATTAACTGTAGACTTGTCGTCTATGTTATGATTAAATCGTAATATTAACTAAAATATAATGTAATATTAAATAAAATATAAAGTAATATTAACTTGTTAGGAACATTTTAATTTACCTAAATAGAATGCGAGTTTTCTTACCTGCATTAAACATTTAACTTTTCTTTTTCACTTTAACATTTTAAAACTTAACTACAATAAACAGTTGTCGACAACTTTTTGTCGATATATCGACAAAAAGTTAGTTACCTAGTATGTAGTTAGCAGACTTATAGGTATTGACATATTTTAATAAAATCAAAATGTTTAGAACACAAAATATTAAGTTTTTAAAAGTTTGATTTAAAATAATGACGTAAAATTGATAATAGTTATTTAATAATGTGAGAAAAAAATGTTATAAAGTTGCAATAAACTAAGCTAGTCGCGAGCTCATTTCACACCGGGCAATCGCAAAGCTACAGAAAATCTTTTAAAACTTGCTTTAAACAAATCAATTTTCAAATGTTGAGCCCAAGTTGTAAGAAATACGATTGGTACAATGAATGGAGTTTTATTAATTTTAAAGCTTACCTAAAGCGAAACAGCGTGCTTAGATACATAAACAAGTGTATGTTTTAAGGCTTATGTAAAACAAAATGATTTGAAATACACGAGAAAAAATTTAGATCTAGTTTGATGAAATTATTAAATATTTACTATATGATATGTGGAAAGAACGGCCATCTTTTAAAATTAACCATAAAAATGCCACATCTAAGTATTTAATACAAATAACACATTGTTTGTTAGTTAATATGTTAAACAAGACAGTTTTAGTTTTGCTTAAAAATAAAAATATTGGATGAAATTATGCAAACAGTACTTTTAAACATATTAAACAAAAATTACAAAAATTACATTAAAAATGTTTTAAAGATTATACGAACATGTTGGTACGTTTGTATGATTGATTTAGATAAGTATGTGTTAAAAAATTTGGAATATTTTCACTTTTATAACCTTTAGTTAGTTATTACCATTTTTCTTTCATCTAAAAGTCCATACTTTACTTGGATTTCCAGCTACCTACATCCACTCCCTTGCACTTTCTAAACATTTATGTGTAAAAAATATGATATAAGTCGTTTCTCCAACTCTATTTCCATTACAGGATTGTAAGTATCAAAAAAACGAATTTTCGTAAAATACTGTGTAAGCCAACTGAAATTTTACGTACCTTTATTTATATACTTTTTTGCTTTATTGATATGTTTAAGGTGAGCGACTCAATTATTAATTTCTTGCATATTTTCTATAAAAATTAAAATAAATCTGTTGCTTGTAAAATCGGATAACTATTTATGTTTATTTATAATCTATAAATAATAGATTATTTTTTATTATTTTTAATCTATTTTAGAGTAATAAAAGCTCTATTAAACTGTTTGAGGTGTCATCTAATGAATCCTTTTAATCCTACTTTTTTTTTAAATTATATTAAAATCTAGAAAATCTAGAACTTATTAACATTTTTAAAAGGAGAACTGAGCTTAATTTTAATATTAGTGAGCTGCATTCTATTTTTAAACAATCTTATTTAATTTTGCGTTATTTTAGATAAGTTGGTTTACTTATTTAGTTAATTGGTCATTTGCGTTTCAGTTAACCATTATTTTTGAAGAATTTATTGTTTAGATAATACCGCATCTATCCTTTCTTCAATACCATTTTGAAGAAAACAAAGATGTTTTAAAACTTTACTTTTCTTTAAATAACTTAATAAATTTGATAACGTTTGTTTGTCTAAAACCGATTTATTCTTGTCAGATGTTAGGAATGTTTTAATCTGTATTTATATTTTTAGCCAATCAATATCGTAAGATTCATTTATTTTTGAAATAGACCATTAGTTTTAATGTAGAATTTAAATAAAGTTAGAATAAATATAGTACATTTACTTTATAATTGTATGGTTATGTTGCATTATTTTAGCTACTTTAGTGTTTCAGCTAACAAGTTTTTATATACGAAAGCTTTTTTAGTGGTTTAAAATCCAATATGGTTTCCTTTCATACACTTTTTTGAGTGAAAAATTTATTTTATTTTATTTTTAATTGAAAAATATTTTTTTTTTTTGAAGTTTTATATTTACAAAAATCATATTTATATGTGTTATATTTTTAAATTTAAGTAATATACGTTACACACCTACAGTATGAAGAATAATTTTATTTTTCAGTTGAAAGCTCAACACGATTGATACAATCCTAACAAGAAAGTATTACTATATATTAACTTATCTACATCTAAATTGATTTTGTTGTTTTTAATTGGTTTTATTGTTCTTCCATAATAATTAATGATAAATAATAATGCTCAGCCTATAAATTTTTTTATTTCATTTTCAATTTGTTATATTTTTTAAATTTTATTTAACATCTATTTTAGTTTTATATCTAAACTTTCTTTTTTTTCTTCTAAGCTTGTTTAGTAGTAATAACAAAAACAGAAGCAGCAGTTTAATAACAAGAACAGTGCGAATAAGTATATTCATTGGTAATTTTTGTATTTGATGTCTTTATTCCTTTAAAGTTTACATACATGATTTTATTTATATACTTTCTTTTAATTTTAGGTTAAAGCTATGAAAAGATATAAAATGCTGATAACTCCTTAAGAATATTAATATTACACTTCTGTAGAAAACTAAAAAAATTATTTACATTTTGGTAGGTTACTTTTTATTTTTTAACATTTATTTCAAAGAGACACTTTTTTACCCCATAAAGAAAATAAAAACAAATAAATATGATAAAAATTTAGATATGTTGGCTCTTTATATTCTGAGTGAAATTTAATGATTAAATAGTTCTTTTATTGTCCCTATCCTATTTTAGTGAGTTTTATTTGTCAAATTTTGGTAAGTTTCATAATACACTTTGTATCCTTGAGAAAAAATATTTCTTTTTCGATGTATTATAATGAGTTACCTACAATATAATAAGTTACGAACAATTTAATAAGTTACTAACTATTTTAATGTTGTTGTTTTTAACGTTATTTTAATTATTTTGTAAGATATGAATAAAAAAACTTAAACTTCTGGTAAGTTTTTAAATTTTATTCAATACGATAGTCAGGTTCATGATTTATATATATATATATATATATATATATATATATATATATATATATATATATATATATATATATATATATATATACATGCATATAAATATATATATATACATGCATATATATATATATATATATATATATATATATATATATATATATATATATATATATATATATATATATATATATATATATATATATATATATATATTTATCTTTATATATATATATATATATATATATATATATATATATATATATATATATATATATATATATAATATATTTTATAAAGATATATATATATTTTATAAAAATATATATATATTTATAAAAATATATATATATATATTTATAAAAATATATATATATATTTATAAAAATATATATATATTTATAAAAATATATATATATATTTATAAAAATATATATATATTTATAAAAATGTATATATATTTATAAAAATATATATATATTTATAAAAAAATATATATATTAAAAGTTTTTAAATTTTATTCAATACGATAGTATGATGTGATTGTTATTTTCGAAATTTTTACTTTTAAATTTACTTGTTATCATTAACAACATGGCTAAAAAATTTTTTAACCAAACATTTTTTATCGGTAAAAAAAAAATAGTTATTACTAGTAAGTAGCCAATGCCTCATTTATCCGATTTATACGGTTGTTGTTAACTTTAAGATGTCATTTCAGTCACTTTTAAAAAAACTATATGTATAACATTAAAAGTGTTATTTATCATTTTTGAGCAATTAAACCTCTTGTTTACGTTTTTATTAGCTAGACCTAGCACAAAAAGTTAATGTTTCAAAAATCACACGAGCGTTTGATTTAATAAATGATTATTCTGCATTAAGAATGCGCTTTTAAAACCTAAATATTTATAAAAGAGCTCTTATATTCTAGATAAAACAAAAAAATCTGAATCTAATTTATAGAAGCTTTTATTCAATAACAAAATCATTTTTTTATTCTAAAATCTTTAAATATAAGTATATACATTCATATATTTCTGTGTTAGAGCCATAATGACTTCAGCTTTAAGTGATTTCACGTTTAGTTATTTGGTTAGGCTGGGTATTGCATTCATTAAAGAGGAAGCTTTAGGTATTTGTTTAAAAAGTTATCCCTATATGTATTTGTACATATACAAAAGCTGATTTTTTTCGATATTGCAAAGATCCGATTTTTTGCAATAAGCAAGCATGGTGGATCCCCTTACGAAAACACAAACTGCCACTAGTACCATAAGTGTGAGCTTTACTATTTGCTGGAATTTCTAGTGGGCGAGTTTCTTTGTTGATTTACAATAATTGTGCCATGTCTTTATTTTGTTTTTGTATATTCACGACTATTCTATTACATTGAAGTTAAACTAAAATGTATTAATTGGAGTTGTTGAAGTTTTTCAAACTGTCTTTGTTTTTGCTGATTCTTCATTGCCAAACCTGTTTGTTGTTCTAAAATGCTGACTTTTATTGAAAAGATAATTATCTCATAGTAAAAATAGAAATACTTAATGTTTTCATGGACGACCAACTAAACGTTTTATCTCATACAGTTGGTATTTTTTCAATAAAATATCAAGATGCGACTCAAAGCGTATTTATGAAAGTATAACAACTGCAAACCCTAGAAATTGGAAAAATCACATTAATTTGCAAATTTAAACACAGATTTATATAATTTCTTAAACTATATAAAATAATTATGCATTTTGTTTGTTCCTTATTGAGGAGAAAAAACTCTGAAGAAAAATAAAGTAGGTTTTTTTGAGGTTTAGAATTTGCTCTGAGGTGCTTAAAAAAGAATATATAAATACCTACCAAGAAACAAGCTATACCTAGAAGATAAGAAAACAAGAAACAAGCTATATAATTCAAAAAGAAAACAAAAGACTCTTTGTACCAATTACGAGCTAATAAAATATTATTTTGTTAGCTATTAATTGATACAAAGATTATTTTGACCTTGTAATTACGTATTTTTATGTTAATAATTGAATGTCAAATTAATTTTTAGAAAGGAAGATAAATGTTATATTTTATTATTTTTGTGTTATAAAATTGTTACAGTTCTTATAAAATTAATTTGTAATTGAAATTATGTTTAAAAAAACCTAGACAAACTAAATGTTATTCTAAAAATTATTTATTCATTTAATATATTCACGGGGTTCTATTTTCTGATATTTAACAATTGTTAGTTAAAGTGGATTTTCAACTTTTTGTAGTTTTTATTCTGTTCTGCTTACTAAAAAAAGAATAACTATTTACAGTTTTATTTTTTTTTTAATGGTTTTCTGTTTTAAACTTTTTTAACTAACAGTGTACGTAAAGGCTGAAAAAAAATCTCAACATCATATTTTGATTTCACGTTATTCTTGTGTTTCGTCGGGATACTTATTTTTATGCTTATTTTATGTTTGATATTACGTCAGAACATTTTTGTCAATTTCTAGCTTCAATTATATAATTAAATATTTATTTATTTAATTCCTTTAATTCTAGATAATTATAATATTTTAATTTTAATTTAATTCCTTAATTTTAGATAAAATCAAAATCTTTATTATGAATATTTTTCTAAACTTTGCTTGTGTATTTAATTTAAACATGCATTTTTTCCTTTTTTTTTTTTTAATAACTTTTTTTTATCTTATTTCTGTTCTGTGTTATACTTCGGTGTACGCGAGAAAAATATAGTAACTATACTAAATATAGTAGGGAATTTCTATTTCTATGCGCGATTTTTTATTTTTCTTTGTAAGTGTTATTTTTCTTTATAAATAATTAGAAGCTGAGACTTAAATCGATATGCATACTTTTTTGATTTTCTTTAAAAACAATTATAACAAAAATATTTTTATCATATTTTAGGCTATATGAATCAATTAAATAAAAAACTTTTATTATTTTATTTTTAATTTCTTTTTTGGTGTTAATGTCTCATTAGCTTGAAAAATTTACAATTATTTTCAAAACTCAATGATCTAGCTAGAAGCATTCGATTACTTCTATTTCTCAGCGAAAATATGTTAAATATGAATTGTAGAAATTAAATATTTTGCTTGAAATACTACCTAGCAATTTAATTTCATAAAAATAACTGTATGAAATTGAAAAATTTGCTACCTCCGTGCTTGGCTTCTATGTGTGATCATTCATGTACTGCATTTAAACAATTGATGTGACTCAATGATGTTCAATCCGTACCTTTCTGGAAATCTTTAATAATATCTAAAATGTTTTTTTTTAAAAAAAAGCATACTGCTTAAACTTAAATTTTCCGAGAAATTAAAGTTAATTTATCTAGTAACTAAAATTTTTGTTTTTTTGTTCCGTGCAATTTAATTAATTTAAGTATTACAAAACTTGTTATAATACCTAAAGAAGGAAACTAAAGAAAACTTGGCATTTTCTGGTAACTTTAAATAAACTTATAATATACAAATACAAATAAACATATAACTATAACATGACATACAAATAAACATATAACTATACCATACGTGTAAGGCGATTCGTCATCTAAGTAGAATGAATAATCCTTCTAAATAAAAAGTCCTACATAGATTTATTTTTAAAGTGTAGTATTTTTTATTTAGAACGATTACTCATTTTACTTTATATGATGAATTTCCTTATACGCATTCTTTTGCAAACATTGATGTTTAATTAAATTTTTTATGTGTGTGTATGAGCTCATGGATGATTTTAAATAAGGCTAAAAAAAAGTTTTTGTGTAAACTAAAATAAATAAGCGATCAAGACAGTAGCGTAGCTAGCATATAGCAAGAGTAGGCAATGCCTAGGAGCTCACACAGACAGGGAGCCTTTTGCTAGGGTTCCTAAGTTACTTAAATTTTTTTTAAAAATTATGTCAAAATTGGATTTAAGTGATCAACGTTCGTAACTGTAGACACTGCATTTTGCTAAAAATAGATTATAAATGACATCACGGTTACGGATTACCACTGTATCTTGCTAATAACTTTTAATCAAAATTAACTTTTAGCAATTTTTAAAAGCTTTTGCGTATCCTGTTTAATTATTTGTAAACATATTTTGTAAATTATAAAAAAATAATTGTATCTAACCCCTACTTAAATATGGATGGTTTAAAAAAATCAAAGGCAATGACAATGAGCATATAAAAGAAAACTTAAAAAACAAAAAGAAGAAGAATTGAGAAATGAAAAAATTACCAAAACTTGATATCTTTTGCACAGGAAGAGAAGACAGTGTTGCAAATATGTCAACAATGATGGAATTACTGAGCGGGGGCATGATGATGACATCGAATTAGCAGATGCTTTAGAAGAGAGTCAAAAGACAAATAGGAAAGTATTAACAGAAGTGCAAAGTGTCGATATTATTCAAGCAGAAAGAGATGACGTAGTTATTACAACTGATCTTGATGAAAAAAAAGTCAATAATATATCGTTCACCCCATAGACCAAAAAAACCGTTTTCTTAAGATCCTGCCTAACAAAATAGATGTTTTAGTAAAACTTATTATTACTCTATGGCAAAATATGGTCCAAAATACCATGCATGTGGTTCTGC